AAATGTATATATGTATATATATATATATATATATTTTACATATATTTATTTTTATATTTATTTTTATGATTTATTTTTAAATAATATGTGTTCATTATTTCTTTTGATATTGAATCTGATTATATGTATATAATAATTCATTTAAACATTGTTACGTATTCTAATAACTATGAATCAAGTTATGTGTTTTATTATTTTCTAATTTAATTCATGAATTAATCATGAATAATGCAATAAATTAAAAATTTTATGTTATTCCGTTAAATGGAATGACATTTAAAAACCTTTAATTTTGGCGTGTAGGTGAAGCGACCTTTCTTATTACGGACCTGACCTTTTTCCATTTTCCTTACTTCTTTATAATATATAATTCAATAAAGAGATGAAGAACAATGTCTTAATTGGATGAATATTATTCATTAATTTAAACAATTTTTCAAAATTGGAGTTGTGTATTATTTTAAACATTAATAAAGTTAATTTTTTAATCAAATAGAATACACTTGATATGTATTTTTACAAATAAAATTATAATCAATAATTCACCAAGTAATAAACATAATAATAACATAATAATATGTGTCAAATAATATACATATATGAAATATATATGAAATTTATTGGTACAGTAATAAATGAAAATCAAAGAGATGTTACAGTGCTGATCAATAAATTTTATCAAGGTATTTAATAAGAGAGAAACTTATTCTCGTAATAATAGTTGCAAGTTTTACAAACTTTTTGCATTAACTATTTATCCATATTTTTAGGTGATTTTTAGATTTATTGATTTGCGCATGCGTTTTATTTACAGTTTATACAGTTAGGGCGCGTACTTTAAATTATTTTTCAATTTATCATATTTTTAACATCTGTTATGATATATATCTCTCTCATTTAATATCTAAAATTTAAATAAAATCAATTTTAATTCTATTTTTATTTGATGAAAATTATTATCAGAATAAATAATTAAAAATTAAAATTAATTCTAAATCACAAATGGCACAGTATATTCTATAAATATTTTATGTTATTTAAATATTTTTATGAACTTATTAGAGAAACTATTTCGATGTATTAATATACATGTATTTAATATGACACTATATAGTATATCTTATATATTTATATAGTATATCTTATATATTTATATAGTATATCTTATATACGATTCCATCAAACAAAACAAATATATCATTATCGATAAATTTAAATTATCGATAATGAAATAATGGGGAGATTATCATTAGAGAGATCATTATTAATTTTATTATTAAAGAAATTAAAAATAGAAGTAAAAAACAATATAATATCAAATATTTAAAAAAATTCAAAATAGGACATTTGCAACAAAATCAAAAGACACAACTACTTGCAAGTGTGTTTTTCAAGATAGAAAATCAAGAATATTTCTGATTAAAGGATGTATAAAAGAATAGAAAAAATAAAGGAGGTAAGAATGCAAAATCAAATATTTTTTTAGATTAAAATAAAAAATTATAATGCAAAAATTTAATCTGAGTGCAATAGAAATAAATAAATAAACTATTAAGCACTTAAGATCTTGTCTTGCCAAGTGTTGCCAGTTTCCCTTCTATTATTAAACACATTCTCGGCTTAGATATATTGATTGTTTATTCCATTAAATAATATTTACACATGTATGTATATATAATACTACATATGTAATACTACATTATTATATTCTGAAATCTAATATTTATTGACACAATGTATTGAATGGAATAAATAAAATATTGATTAATCAAATTTTCATTGAAATTCATCGCCATTCTCATACTGTTATGCCTAAGCTTTGCTTAAATCAATCGCGGGTTTTTCCCTCGAAGACATTTTTAAATAAACCGAGCTAACTTCATCCTCGTCAAATAATTGAATATGAATGGAGTGAGCAGCGAGCGTTCCGAAAACAGAGCAGGAGAGAACAGAATTATGTTCGGTGCACAGATTACCGAGATTACGGAGCGTTCATACGGCAACGTGCGCACAATCAGCGTGACATTATTGGTTGGCAGAGAACGTCGCGTAGGGATGAATGGAGGCTCGTGCGTAAGCGGAATGAAGCGAAATGGCCGTAATCGGACGGGACGGGCCAATAAAGATTCCCTGTTCGATGGTGTGACGCGCCGCGTAGCCGAGAACTAGGAAAACAAACGGGCGACTCGGATTCTTTGCTCTTTGCGAGTGGACCGCGGCGCGCGCGACGGGGATAGTGAATGAATTTACTGGGTTGCCGATAAAAAAGGTGAATTTCCGGCGACGATGCGCATGGACCGGTCGGCAAAGTGCCCGCGGCTGGATTGTGAGGCATGCCGCGCGGTAACTTTCACTCATTGACCTGTCGACAAGCAGCGAGGCCGACGCAACAGCAGCACCACCATCAACACCAGCACCAGCACCAGCACCAGCAACAGCAACAGCAACAGCAACAGCAACAGTAGTAGTAGTGGTAGTAGTAGTTAGTAGTAGTAGTACAAGAAAGGAAACGATTATCCGTGCCGACCGCGATTACCTCCCGCTTTTCCGGAAGAGAGGTTTTATACGACGTCGGACGATCGCGGGATATTTTTTTTTCACGCACGGGATCTCTCGGACACACGGCGCGGCGTAACTGCGTCCGCATGCGTAATAATTGTCTCCTTTTCCGACGGGCCGATCGAAATACATTGTCCGACCGGAGAGCACTCTTGGGGTACTCCGCGAAGGAAGGGAAGTTGCTGTAATGGCCGCCGTGTCATGAAATGAAGGTGCCCAGTCAGTTTTGTGGTGCCACAATGGAGGATAGCTGCAGCCCCGCGTCCCAGAATCACAACGGCCAGCTGGCCGGCGGCGCGAACGTATCCCTCGCCAACAACAAGCACCAGGGCGGCAGCGACAATGGCAGCAACGGCGACGCCAAGGACCAGCGGCCGCAGTACTCGATGCCTGGCATTCTGCACTTCATTCAACACGAGTGGGCCCGCTTCGAGCTCGAGAGGTCCCAATGGGAGCTGGACAGGGCGGAATTTCAGGTACAGAGTCCCCGGACTCGGAAACTGCGAATCGCGCGTGAACGTGCGTGCGATGATCGTTCGTTTTATTGCCACTTGAGTTGTCATGTGACAGAAGGGAACACATAAGGAAACGCGAAACAAACGTCGTTAACGAGTTAACGCGGATAAAGTGCATCGATGAAAGATCGCGAAAGAATGCTTAGCGATGAGCATGTTGTAGCTCGGGTAGTTATTAGTGTCGATGTTGTTTTTCAATTTGTCACGCTGTCAAAAAACAGCTGAATTTTTTTTTTTATATTTGAATCATCCTAGTTTATTAATGTTTACATATCTTAGAATATACAAAGGGATTGCAAATGTAAAATTGTTGGGATTGTTAATGATATATTATTTAATTCTTCCTGGTGTTTTTTATTATATAGGCTAGGATAGCTTTTCTTCAGGGTGAAAGAAAGGGACAGGAAAATTTGAAGAACGACCTTGTAAGGAGAATAAAAATGTTAGAGTATGCACTTAAGCAAGAAAGGTAAATGAATTAGTATTATGATTAGTATTATTAATTATATAACATATGGACACCTATATATTATATGCATCATTTACATATGTAAATGACATTTCTTGTTTTTAAGAGTGCTCCATCCTTTCAAATACAAAGAACATCAAATTTTTATCAGAAGTTAAGTCATTCAATAATGTTTTATGATAAAAGAAAAGATAAATTAGGAAAAAAATGATCTTTGATTTCTTGTATGTTTCTCATTAAATTGTGTTATTCATACATGGATGATATGATTAAGAAAGAAAGAATTTAAGAAATTTTTGCCAATGTTAATATTTAAATTCCAAATATGGTACATGATATTTATATGTATTTTATATCTAATTATTTATATATATGTATCAATAAGAAAAATTATATACTTTTTAATTTTCCCTTCTTGGCTTTTTTTGCTGAAGTAAATAAAAATTCTATTCTATATACTTTTTAATTTATAAAAAATTATATGTTGATACACTATATTCTTGTAGACTGTGATTATTAAATCTAAAATATGAAATCAGATAAACTTGATTGGAATTTATTGTTAGAGTTTCTGTATACAAATGAGATATATAGACATTAACATTATGCTACTAGGCTATCATTATGCTGATTATGCTCTGTCTGTATATTTTATAGTAACAGTCATTCAGTATGATAATCTTATAATACCATTTCTTGTAATTTCTATATAGAGCGAGGTATCATAAACTAAAATATGGTACTGACTTAGTAATGCAAGGAGATGTCAAACCACCTCTTTATGAAGAAGGTACCACGTGCAATATCTCTGAAAGTGGTAGTGGCGGTGGTGGTGGTGGTGGTGGTGGAGGAGGGGGAGGAGGGGGAGGAGATGGAGAAGCTTCATTTACATCTGTCAGTAATGTTAGTTGGAGACAAGGTCGTCAACTTTTGAGGCAGTATGTAATCTATCTACTTTGTTTTTAAAGATAGTTCAAAGTATTTAAGTTACTAATGTTAATTTTTTCTTTATTTATATTTGAGTTAAAATACTGTATGGGGACAGAAAAAGAAGTATTATTTAATATTAAGCATCTAATTATATTGTAAAAAGATACTATAGTAGAACTCTTTTTTTTTTTCAGGTATTTGCAAGAGATTGGATATACTGATACAATAATAGATGTACGGTCAAATAGAGTGCGATCATTGCTGGGCTTAAACAATAATACAGACACAGAGGAGATGAATACTCCAGCGTTAAACGGAAACGAAGGAGTAGCACAGGATAAACAAGAATATAATGAAAGTCTTGTACGCCGAGGAAAGCAACAACATCCTCAAAAAAAGGTAGAAAAAATATCTTATCGGAGTTTGATTAAAAAAACTCGAATTATGTAACATATACCAAATTCAAAAGTATTATATTGTTATTGAATTTTATATATTTACATAAAAATTTATAATACAAATTATAATGAAAGTTCAGAAAGCATTGAAAAAGTATCAAGATGTATAATTTTGTGTACTTTCTCAATATATATAAAAATATAATATTTTAATTTTAGCAACAGCCATCTTCTATAGCAGAAGCAATGATATTAGACACCGAAGCGGCTGTTATAGCGAATTTCGAATTTTTGCGTCACACGGATATGGATATGGAAGAAGAAGAAGGAGATGTAGAAGATGAAATTTACGATGCAAATACAGATACCAAACCAAATAAAGTAATTTCTCTCTGTTATACTCTCTATTACACTTTTGTTACTGTATATTTTTATTCTACTATATTTTGTTTTGTGATATATTTATTTATATGTATGACGTATACTATTATTTTTTTTATTAATACCTTAAATTTTTGTCTTGTAGGCATCTATTCCTCTTCTAGCGGAGGACGTTGATACAGATGCAGAGGCAGAAGAAGTATTAAATGAATTAAATCTTCTCACAGAAATTGAAGAATCACCGCCTGGTTCTATTCATCTAGAAATGAATTCTTCAGACTGGAGTAAGTAATTTGTCAATCTTAATTCTTATATACGGAGTATCTCCAAAGTCTGTTCGTTTTTATATTTTCGGAATATTTATAAAAATATAGAATTTATAGAATATATAGAAAAACGAATTATATAGTCCTTTATTTTAAGAGGCCATTTTCATGAAAAAATTTTTCTTAGAGTTCCTCAAAAGTATTTTTATAAGAATTGTGTTTTAATTTTAAGATCTTTTTAACAAGATATTTAAATTCCTTTTTATTAAAAATTTTTCACTCGTAAGTTTCCACTGATTTCTTGAAGAACAGAGAGAAAATATATTGATAAGGTTAAACCCATGGAATTAAGAATACGTTATTCAGTTTTTCTATTTTCAATCTTTCCAAAAATATAGAAGGCGCAAACAGATTTTAAAGACATTCTATATTATGAATTTTAAATTAATAATTTAAATTTTAATATGTAAAACTGTACATATATAATTGTACATATATAACTGTACATATATAATTATATTTTGACAATCTAATGTTTTTCTTGAAGATGCGTTACATAGAGGATTACAACCAGATCCAAGACGTCCAAATAAAGAAGGTGATTCTACATTGGAATTAGGCGAATTAGAACAATTATGCGTTAACAATGATGCAGAAATATCATATGATGTAAGTTATGAGAATTTTTCTATATCCGACAAATTGATATGTTACAATTCATTGATGCTTGCAATGTTATGGTTTATCCAATAGATGGTTTCCACCACAAAAGAAACCTTCAGAAAAACATGGAACGCAAAATATACGTTACGATCACATTTTGATGCTGTTAGGGCACTTGTCTTCCATCCCACAGATCCAGTCCTCATCACTGCGAGCGATGATCATACGTTGAAATTGTGGAATCTTCATAAGACTGTACCAGCGAAAAAGTTTGTAAATTTGTTTTATTATAAGAATGATAAATTAGCATTATTATAAAGTTATATTGTATACATATTATTATATCTTTATTCATTTTTTTGCAGGTCAGCTTCGTTAGATGTAGAACCACTTTACACATTCAGATCACACACTGGACCTGTATTGTGTCTAGCCATGTGCAGTGCCGGCAATCGATGTTATAGCGGCGGCTTAGATGGCAATATCCATTGCTGGACGCTTCCATCAGCTAACATCGATCCGTACGACTCATATGAACCAAGTGTCCTTAGTCACACGTTAACAGGACACACGAATGCTGTTTGGGGTTTGAGCATGTATCATTTGCGTCCTACCATGCTGTCGTTCAGTGCAGATGGAACTGTAAAATTATGGGCTCCACAGGCCCCACAACCTCTTCTCAATACGTATGTTTCGGAACAAGGTATATACAAACGTTATTTAATATTAATGTTTTAAGCTCGAAACAATGCGCCATTAGATAATTATTAGCAAATAGCAAGTTATATATGTTAAAATAATACGGGAGTCTGAAATTCGCACAGCTTTATCTAGCAAATATTGATCAAATGTAAGTTTTCTCTCTATGTCATATATTTCCAGATGATTATATCATAATGTTTCCTTTTTTTTATAGATGGCATACCGACTTCAGTTGATTTTATCAGGGACGAACCGCACAAGCTAGTCGTAGCTTATGAAGGAGCTTGCGTGGTATTTGACACTGAAACCGGCGCGATCGTAGCGCGACTCGAAGCGAACGAAACGAAAGGCGTAAATCGCGTTGTAGCACATCCGACATTACCGCTCGTTGTGGCTGCACATGAGGATCGACATATTCGATTTTATGATCACCGATCGGCTACTCTTGCACACGCGATGGTAGCGCATTTAGATGCAGTTACTAGTCTCGCTGTAGATCCCCATGGTTTATACTTACTTTCAGGAAGTAAGTACGAAGAATAAAAAGAAAGAAGATTAATCTTATCACGATAATGAGATTATAGGCAGAATACTTCAAATTACACATGTATTTTAATATAATATATGTCTAATTTATATTTTATCATCGCGCAGGTCACGATTGCAGTATAAGATTGTGGAATATGGACAACAAGACTTGTGTTCAGGAGATAACAGCGCATCGAAAGAAATTCGACGAGAGTATTCTGGACGTAGCGTTCCACCCATCACGACCGTTTATAGCGAGCGCCGGCGCAGACGCTCTCGCCAAAGTGTTTGTGTGAAATGTGAAAAATCCAAGATACATTCACTACATCAAAATGATTTCTACTATTACATCAAATCGAGCAGTTTTTGTACTCGTATTCATTTTAGATAGCCTTATATAACTTTATGTGTCCACCGACATCACATACATACAAACACAACATATATAAATATATATATATATATATATATATACACATACACACCATTCACACTTCCGATATATTTCCGTTATAACTTTGATCGTTCTACCATTTCCGAGGTATCAATTTATAAAGAAATCAAATCGCTCGCGTAGGTATTCATAAAGGAAATGAAAATTATCAGTACTTGTCTGTGACAGTTTATGGGGGAGGGGGAAGAATAATTTTAAATATATAAACGCTGCTTGTTGATGTTAATCATCATTAAGTAGCCGATACTATTTGGTATAGCGGGGAGGGGTTATCATGTAGAATATTAGCCGACATAGTCCTGATAATTAGATAGAGGAATCAGCCCCTTACCCACAGAATCCAGGAAATACACTGCCGCGGTAGCGTAATATTTATCCTTACGTTAACTATTTATTACCAATATCGCTGTTACTGTTGCACAGCTACTGGGGATTAATACAATCGTAATAATCGACGATACAGTTGTCCTAATAAATAAAAAAAAATGCATTAATTAGTCTCCCATTACACATAATTTTTCTTGCTGCCTTATATATTCATCGAGGCCAGCACATAGTAATGATAATAATAATCATAAGTTAATTATAATAGATATAATATTAATAACAATAAATTATAATTGTGTGTTTCTCTCTGTAATATATTGTATTTAAAAATAGATAACTGTGTAACGTATTATAATGAACATTTTTTTATTAAAATCTCATTCCATTATTTTCTTATTTTACATGCCCACAAATCTAGACCGCTTACAGTAAGCGTCAACCTTTCTCATTTATCACCGCAACAAAAGAAGAAAAAGTAAATCTCCGGGTCATCGAATTTCACGCGGTTGCATGATTACCTCGGTCTTTTTTTATGCAATCGCATGTGATACGTGATTCGGAGAGCGGGGCACAAGTCGTCTTACGAGGGAGTGGGAGGAAAGGGAAGAGAGAGAGAAAGAGATAGATAATCCTTCCGATCTTCGTTATATCAAGCGGAAGGAGTAATGTCAGACTTGTACTCGCGCTCTCCTTTGAGATTTCACTTTCCTCTTGTGAACGCGTATAATGCCAACTCTCAGCAACGAGCACAGTGGAAAAAAAGACATTTGCAATTTTGCCGCCTGAAAAAAGAGAAGAGGAATTCTCTTTCATTCAGACGTGATCGTGCTAATCGGCTGAAGGCGATCAGCCATAGCGGGTGATCTCGTGATTACTCCCCGTGACCGATCGGAAGGCGAGACCAACGAAAGAGCTGTCGATGATCCCGAGAAAAATGACGAAGTCTCGCGTGCACGCGTGCACCATGCTGTGCCAGGCATGAAGACGCATCCAGTATCATCCTGAGTCATTTATCATCGTTCCACGCGCCTCGTAAGTGTTAACATCTTTGCATCGAATCGAGGTTCACAAAATCGGTGAGGAGAAAAAGAACGATCGTCTCATTGAGAGATGAAACATCAAGGAATTCGGTACTCTCTTCAACGATCGAACAGTTCGTTTAATTCGCGAAATCCTCCAGGCAGGTTATGTGAGACTCGTGGATCGCTCGGAGGGACGATCGGAGGGACGTAGACGAGTTATGGTGTACACCCCGGTCTCTCGTGAGCGTCATCGCTTGTGAAGGCCTAATGGAGCGGAACGGTGCCCGAGAGATGGAGGAGCGTAGATGCATTCGAGATACTGGAAGGGCCCTGAAGAAGTACGGGAGCACAGCCAAGCACATGACACGGACCGAGAGCTTGGTGAAGCACACGGTGTGCCCCACGGACACCCTCCAAGGGATAGCACTTAAATATGGAGTTACGGTACAACATATATTGGTCTCTTATTTTTGTACTTCATTTAGAAACATTGTTATCATTTTATTCTGCTCAAGGCAGAACAAGGCAGAACAAGGTGAAACTTATCTAATATGTGATTGTTTTTTTATTTCTTGTAGACGGAACAAATAAGAAGGATTAACCGATTATGGGCGTCAGATAGTTTATTTTTACGAGAGCATTTGCTTATTCCCGCTAGTGCGGAAAGTCCTGCTTCTACATATAATGATGAGCCGGTAGTTTCTGAAGAATCCGATATCCCTCCAAATGTAAGAATTATCAATGTTTATTATCTTGCATCAATTGATATGTCTTACGAATGTATATTTATCTTGCAGATATCTAGTCCTTCTTCAATATCATCATCGATTGGTGACGAAAATTCCATTAATGATTTCTTAGCTAAGATGGATACTTCTATAGCTAATGCTAAGAGAGATGTTAAGCGTGCTCAAGGGAATAGTGAGTAAGTTATTTTTTATGCTTTATATGCATTCATATAGAGAGACATATTTCCAAGCATGTATTATATGAAGATTTATACTGATAACCTAATGAAAATATAAAAAGCAGATTTTTATAAAATACAAATTTCTTATTTGTAAATTTGTATAAGTGCAATATGTTATCAAGAAATATTACAAAATAAATAATAATACTTTATCCATAAATAATTTTTACAGATTTTGCGTTGACAGCAATGACATTTATGTACAACGACGGCGTGGATCTGCTAAATTACGAAATTCATTTCCTACCACGTCAAATACTTATTCGACGTCCTCCTCTGATCCTGTCAGACCAGTGTCCTCTAGTGATATGCATAACTTTCCAACTGCTGTGGTTATGACGCAAGGAAGAAGAGTAAAGACTTCCTTACAAAGACTCGAGCAGCAGCAAGACGAAATGTTCCAGTTGTAGCGTTTAAGTTTTATTGGGCTGTAATATCCTGTGTGTGTCGACTGTTATTAAAAAAGCTTGTAGGAAAGGATGTACTGTATATCAATGCGAATAGGATATCGTTTATTATGTCTAACGTTGATAGATCCAGTTATCTTGATTTAACTACGTTAAACTGCACGGCTCTCTTTCTCTTTTCTCTCTCTCATTCACGTGAAAGATTGTATCCTGCAGCTAATCTAAGTAATATTCTTAAGATTTACATTATTATTATATCTCGATTTTATAACTCTTTCTCATTATAGTAATATCACAATGACTGGATCAGCTAATCTTTGTATGCAACACTAAACACTAAACTGTTTTACATAACGTTGCTTAGTGGACCACATGTGCCTTGAATATTAATGTCTGCATTATGCAAGGATCCTCTTCATGCTTCATTTTTTTTCCGATTAAGTCGCATAAAAATCGATGTTTTCTTTTTCAAAGGCTTTATTTTTTATTTTCTGTTTTTAATTTTTTTGAATACTGTGATGATCTACCTAAAAATTTGGCAAAAAAAAGTGACAAAAACCAAAAACTGCTTTAAGAGTATTAGGTAATGCGTAATGAATAGTGAAATTATAAATATGAGCAAAATATAGAATTTATTTACTTAAAATGCAATTTTTTAAACTGATTGTTATATTTGTTATAATGAAAATATATATTTTATTTTTTCTCTCACTCATTACCATAAAAATTTTGTTCACCAATGATAAAAAATATATATACAATATTTTTCTAATATTAAATATATATAAAAATGTTATTGTTGTCTACAATTCTAATAGGGACATAAATGAATTAAAGAGACACACGAGATTATTAAACAATTCCTTTAATATCAATTCTTAGCTGGACTAAGCTTTTTACGACAAATATTGAATTCATTAAAGTTAGAACATATTTTAAATAATATTTAATCAATTGGGATATATTATAATCTTTTAACTAAGTCTGAATTTTTCACAAGAAATTAAAGATTCAAGAATAAAAAAATCCATTTTAGGGTTTATAATGTTATAAATAATACCTTTAATATAGTAAATCAATTAAAATTAGAAACAAAATAGCAATCTATATTTTCCTTTAAATGCTGCACACACATTGATATACATTGTACATCAAAATTTTATATATATATATATATATATATATATATCTAGTT